TGCATCTGGCCTTTGGAGGTCCCTTCCTTGGAAACCAGGGATTATTCATCCCCATCAGGGCTTGTAACCTGCCGGGGGTGGGGTGGACTTTTTGAACCTCCAACCCGCCCCTTCTCCCACTTGTTTGACTTGGAAATGGGTGTGAGCGCTCCCTGCCATCCTCAGTGGCAGGTTGCCTTGGACCTCCTGGCTCTTGGGAGCCGGAGCACCCCTTCAAAAATGAGCTTGCCTTCGGCAACAATTAGGGTTTTTTTTAAAATCATTATTATTTATTTTTTTGCTTAATGGTAGATCTGCATATCCAACCAGTAGAATTTCTTGGCCTTTGGTGGGTCGGAAACCCAGGACCACATCTGCCTTTTTTTAAAGCAGCCATTTATTAGAAGCTCCTGGCCACGGTGTGGACCCCCAATATCAGCTCATTTGCTGTCAGCCTGGCAGTCCAGAAAAGTCAACTTCTGGGACGTGTCATCAAGGGAGCAAAGGAATGCTTGCAAAGACGGGACAGGCTCCCCCCCCCCACTACATTTTCTTAAGGGAAGGAACAGCCACACAGACAGATGAGGAGGGGTCCAGAGAAGCAGGGTCCTCCCCGACAGGCTGGTCGCCTCCTGCCTCTCCCCCTTTCAGGACAGAAGGCGCTGCCCCCCCCATCCCCGGACAGCCACACCTGCCGCCTGCAGGGGGTTCTGCTCCCTCCACCTCAGGCAGGAAGATGACAGGGCTCCCTCCCCAAAGGTCCCCTTGGCTCCCAGCTGCCTCCTGGAGCACCTCCCAAAGGACCTGCCATTCAGAGACCGCCATGGCCTATTAATATCCGGATGCCAAAATAAATGCCCCATGATACCACGGTGGCCGCACAGCTGCAGGGAAACCACCTGCACTGGCTCTGTAGATCAAGGCAGCCGTTCCCTTTCTTTATTAACACCGTCTTGCGCAATCCTCAAAGCAGTAGATGCCACCCTTGGCAAGTGTCTGCCAGTCTCCGAAGCCACCCCCTGCTTCCCAAAAGCAGTGCTCTCTCTCTCTCTCTCTCTCTGGTGCCTTCTTTTCCACACTGGGCGTTTGCAGGCTTTCTGGAGGCCTCCACACACGCTCCGTTGCAGTTCCGTTTGGAAACAGCCGACATAACGGTGTGATCTCTCTGGACCAGGTGCTGCCCCCATTGCTCATTGTGGCTTCTCTCCTTCCTCCTCAAAAGCTGGTCAACAACAGAGCGCCCTTCGTATCCGCGCAGAGGCCTCTTGGAATCCCAACGACACCATGATTTCCGCCACGCTGGGCCCCTCCTGAAACAGACAGGGGTGTAAAGGCACAAAGCAGCTGGCACGGAGGAGAGGCGGGCCTTTGCTGTTCAATAGTTTCCCCCTCCCTAGTTGGGGATGGGCGGCCTCTACAACAGCCGCCTCGCCAGCTTTGGGAGAGCACTCAAACGCACTGGGGGATAATGGATTCACCAAACCCTGGGACTGCCACCAGGAAGGCCTTTTTGCAGATCAAGACTTGGGGCAGGGACCCACCTGCTGCCCACTGAGCGCCAGGCGCAGGAGCTTCATCATGCGGCTGTACTGGGTGCCTCCGATTTGCGCATGCAGCTGCCTCAAGTCACCGTTCAGCTCTTCGGGGCTCGGGACCGACGCCCGACCCTCCAGCAGCCTTGGCAGCAAGAGAAGGAATGCGGTCAACTCACAGGACAGGAAGGAATGCCCAGCAGCCACCTCGGCAGGTGGGGAACCGAAGCCCATTGAGTGGCCACAAGTGGCCCTGAAGATGCTCAGTGGGTGACGGGGGGCCTGCGGGCGTCCTCGTGAGGTCCAAGCCATTCTTTCCCATTTGGGAGACAGGAGGCACCACAAAAGCGCTTGGAAGCTGTCCTCCTGCCCCACACAAGGATGGACCCAGACAAGGCGATCCTCCTTGAAATGCGAACGCCCCGGGGGCATCACGGAAATTGTCCCCAGAGCGGAAAAAGGGGAACCCTCCCCCGGCCCGACGTCAAGGCAGAACTCACCCCGGCCCCAAGACGGCTCACCTGAGGACCCGCCTTCCGATCTCCTCCGCCTGGGCTGACATGGCTTGTAGCTCCTCGGGCGGCACAGAGGGCCGGATCCACAGGAAGGAATAACTGGGCGACACCAAGTCCTTCAGACGCCTGACGTGGCCCTGAGGAGAAAGAAGAACTGAGGATCACAGGACCCATCTCCGGTTGCTCCCCTAACGCTGCAGGAGCCACGTCTGTTCAGAAGGCAGCAGGCACCAAACGGGCTGGAGGCCAGAGGCGCCCTCTTTGGCGGTGGTGCTGCACTGTCTCACCCAGAGACTGAAATATTGGGGGGGGGGCACGAAGGTCACCCGACCGGGAGGGGTCAGCAGGAAGGCCTGTCGGGCTATTAGGCTTACCTGTCTCAGCAAGAGCACCTGCTCCACGTAGCTCTTCTCGAGAACCCCCCGGTCCACCAGCTGGCCGCCATAGGCCTGCTCCACAGAAGCCTGCAGCTCTGCCACAAGATCTGGCCGCAAGCTCTCGTCCCTGATCCGCCGGGAGAGGTGGAGCCTGTGCAAAAGGTCTCATCAGCTGGCAGCCAAGAGAGGTGGGACACCTTCAAACGTGACACCCCTGGCCAAGATGAAATGCTGCACGAAAAGTAATCCGCCGCTGGCAAGGCCTTTGAGGTGCCTCACCGGTGATCAGGAGCTACAGTCCCGGCCCAAACCTTCCCAGCCCAAAGGGGCCCCACCTCCTCCGCCATTCTGCCAGAGCCCTGACCCAAAAAGAGGCACACACAGACCCCTCTTAGGGAGGTGCCGAGCCGCACAGAAACGCTGACGCCCTCCTGGGGGAAGCGACTGTTCCTTTTCCCTCTGGGTCCCTGAAAGGGAAGGAAATGAAGGGATGGAAACCTGGGGAGGCTTTGGGGCAGGAAGGAGGAGGCCACAGGGAACCCAAGCCAGGGGCAGATGGGGAAATGAAGGGAAACTGGCTCCTGAACATGGCAGGGAGCTCCGCGAGGCATGAACACAAAGCAGGCCCCTCTGGATAAGAAGGATTTGCAGCTCAGCTGTGCCTCAGGGAGGCATACCACACTCCTCTGGTTCTCTACCTGTTGAACTCAGAAAGCTTCTGAAGGTCCAGCAGAGCTGAGTGCCTCTCCAGTCTGCCTGCATCAAACTCCTCCACCAGCTCCTCCAGTGTCCTCCCCATCCGGTTCTCTGCAAAACAGACGGAAAGGACCCCCCACAGAGCTTGCACTGGGTGGCCACCTCCAGTTCTCAAGGCAGTTTATAACATATGGGCTTCCTAACAGCCCCAACCTTATTCCTCACTTCTCCTAAGAGCAGAGCAAGAGGTGGAGGTGGCTGCTGCAGAAGGGAGGTATGATCTTGCAACTCAGGGTGGGAATCTGCCAAGAGCATGGGAGCGGGGGCACCTAGAGCGAAGGATGAAAAGGCTCGGAAGAAAAGATTCACAGCAAAGCAAGCTTAGCAGGTCTGAGAACGACCAAGGAAGAACTCAGCTAAGGGGAGCGGGGGGGGGGGGGGAGAAGGCCGAGGTCCACTTCTCTTGCCTTGTTTGTGCAAAGGAGGGGGAGCAAGACACAAATCATTTCGTAAGCCAACTACCAGCTGAACTGGGGAGTTTATGCTCATCAAACCATTCCGCAGAGGAATCAAAGGTCCAGCTTGCCCACCTCGTTACCTGCAAATCCCGAGCCGCAGTTTGTTATCAGGTCCAGCAGGGCCTCGGGCAAGAAGCCGTCCTGAGCAAACTGCTCGACAAAAATGTCCCCCTGCCTCTTGGACAGCTTGCTGCCGTCTTTGTTCAGGAGCAAAGGGAAATGGCCGAAGCGAGGCGGGTCCCATTCAAAGGCCCTGTAGAGGAGGAGGTGCTTGGAGGTGGAGATGAGCCACTCCACCCCACGCAGAACGTGGCTGATCTGCATGAGGTGGTCATCGACCACGTTCGCCAGGTGGTAGGTCGGGAAGCCGTCGCTCTTCAGGATCACGGGATCTCCCTCCACAGTCGCTACATCGTGCTTGCTCCAGCCGTAGACCAGGTCACAAAAAGGCTCCAAGCTCTTCTCTAGGCGAAAACGCACCACGTAGTCGGTGCCCTGAGACAGCTTCTCAGCCACCTGTTTGGCACTCAAATGCCGGCATCGGTTGTCATACCTTCACAGGGAGAAAAGAGCCTCCGGTGAAACACAGGCCACAGAAGGCCTCAGCCCTAGCCAGAGTTCTGTTGCCAGGATCTCCACGTTCCAGAACTTAGAAAAAGAAGTACCGACAAATCCTCACCGAGGCGTCTCCCGGCGGCGTAGCGCTTCCTTCTTCAGCAGTTCCAGACGCTGGGGCGTGCAGAAGCAGTGGTAGGCAGCGCCCTTCTTAAGGAGCAATTCTGTGGCTTCTCTGTAGAGACCCAGGCGCTCAGACTGATGATAAGGGGCAGCAGGACCCCCTCGGCGAGGGCTCTCGTCAGGTGGAATGCCTGCAAGGGAGAGGAGCAGTCTCTCAGGCAGCAGCACCCAGGGCCAGGATATACAAAGATGAAAAGGCCAGAGGAATCAGCACCCTCCACCACAATGCTACCGGGTCATCCATCATCCCACCCAGAAGGGAGCCTTTAAAAAAAAAAAAACCAAAAGTCAGCAAACGTGATGCTTTTCCAAATGAACTAAGTGTCGCTTCAGATCTAATGCAAGTCAAGGTAGGACAGAATAGAAAATTTGAGACACATCTGATGGAGTTACCGGCCCACTCCAGTGCCTCTTCTATGCCTTCTGCAGCTCCTGGCACCAGCCGGCTCTGGTCGGTGTCCTCCACTCTCAAGACAAAACGGCCTTGGTGCTTTTTGGCAAAAAGGTAGTTATACAAGGCTGTCCGCAGGCCGCCCAGGTGGAGAAACCCTGCAAAGGGAGGGAAGGAAGGAAGGAGGGCAGGAGAGGGTCGGTCCCGCCCCAGCCTTTGCAGGGGCCCCTGCCAGCTCTCCCACCTCCTGACTGAGTGGAAGCCCACAGCACAAGGCAGGGGGCACCAGGGCTGGAGGAGGTTTCCAAAGGGGGGGGGGAAGAGATCCCCACACTTCCTCCCAGCACGTCACTGGCCTTTGCAGCTCAGCCACCCAAGGGATGGGCAGCAGGTTCGGCAGGGCAGTTCGTGGCCCGGGGGGGGGCGCTGCGGGGGGCGGGGCGGCAATGGCTGCCATTTATCGGAAGAGGTGCAGGGAGACCCTGCTGGGAGCGGCCCGTCCAAAGGGCCTCCTCATTCCGCCCTGGAAGCAGCAGAGGGTTCAGGGCCCCGCAGGCGCCCTCCGTGCAACGGCAGCACCTCCCCCCTTTCTACGAGAGCCGTGCACGGCAGGTGCTGCCGGGGGATGCTGGGAGTTGTAGTACTCCATGGCCCGTCCCCCCCCCAAACCCCAGCGCCTTTACCGGTCGGGCTGGGAGCAAAGCGCACCCGCGCAGGAGCCGCCATGGCCGCCTTCTTTCCGCTGCCCCGGGAAGCCCCGGCGCCCCCGCGCAGGCGCAGAACATGCGAGCCGGAGGGCGGCTGCTCGGATTGGCTACCTGCCCCGACCAATCAGCGGGCAGCTTCGGCGGAGCGAGAGACCCTTAAAGGCGCCGCGCCGCCGCACCCTCCCTCCCGGCCTGTCTGAGCAAGAGGCTCAAGGTAAAGGCTTCCTTTCTCGCTAGGCTCCGCCCACTGCTGGGCTACGGGGGCCGGCGAGGGCCAATCCTGGCGGCGGGGCGGGTTTTCCCGGCATCCTCCGCGGGCGGGTTGTACACAATCATCATGGCCGCCGCCTCGGCGTCTGCTT